CACTGTTTTTGTTTTTTGAGGCAAGAGTCTCACTCAGTCACCCTGGATTGAGTGTGGTGGCGTCATAGCTCACAGCAACCTCGAACTCTTGGGCTTGAGTGATCCTCTTGTCTTAGCTTCCCAAGTAGCTGGGACTGCAGGTGCCCGCTACAATTCCTGGCTAGTTCTTCTATTTTTAATAGAGACAGGGTCTTACTTTTTCTTAGGCTGGTCTTGAACTCCTGAGCTCAAGCATTCTACCTGCCTTGGCCTCCCAGTGCTAAGGCCACCATGGGCCTCCTTTTCTAATTTTATGCTCTATACCCTTGGCTCCCACCAGCATGTAAGCTCTACAAAGGAGTGAATTTTTATGTTCCTCCTGCTAAATGATTGGTGTCTACAGCAGCCCATGGCTTTCAATACTGAAATAATCTCAGGCACAATTTGCACTGTGGTGTGTTTTCCTTCTTCCAACACATGCACAGCTGACAGATCCCTCCTGAGAGGCTCCGGTACCCCACATTCATCCCATGCCTGTCACCTTTTACCATGTTCTGGCATAAAGCAAATCATTCGCTTGTTGGATGGGATCCTGTTCTGCCCCTCTGGACAGAGATGAGACCTCACAGAGCTCCCTGCTAGGAAAGGAGGGGTGTTCCCAGAGGAAAGAACAAGGGGTGGAAAGGTGACGCTGCAGGGTAGTGCAGAGAGCTGGGGCCTGAGGAGTAATGGACAGTCAGGGGTATAACTGTGCTGGGGCTTATGGGCCAGCTGCTGACTCACCACTGCCCAAGAGTCCCTGAAGCTGGAAGACTGGAGTGCTGGTGTCCCCCCTAGGCTGCTGCAGTCTGAGGAGAGAAGCCAATGGTGTTGCCTTGTGTCTCTCCTCACGCTTACCTCCAGGCCCAGTGAGGGGCCCACCTGGGATATAGGCATCTCCTCGGAGCTGGTCAGGCAAGTGACCCCAGTTGGGCGGCTGTGGACGCCGACTCCTAACCAGGAAGGCACGGGGCATCCCCTGAGGAACGATGAGATGGCTCTCTGCACACGGGCTTCTCCTACACCTGCTATCAGACCTCAGCCCTAAGGACTATCCCAGGTGGGAAGGGAGGGGGAAGTCAGGAAATTCATGCAAATTTCCTGACTGGCCCAGTGAGCCTAATTTAGCTGCCTCCAGTTACCTCTGCCATGGGAGCCTGCCATTCATCTCCTCACTGCTGAGGGAGCTCTTCAGTTTCCAGGGCAGACGAGCACTGGGACCCCCAAGGAGGGTCAAGCCAGGGGAGATGGGCCTAGGCAGCTGTGGGGGATGGGGACAGGAAACAGCCCCAGGGAGGCTGTGTCCTGGATACCGCCTGGGCAAAGGACTTGAGGGTCCGGGTTTGCCAGGCAAATAAGTCACCATAGGACATCCAGCAGCCTGCTTGGTTATTCAAATCTCAGCAGCTGTCTGAGGAAATAGCCGGGAGGGCCAGGCTGATTGCCTTTCTCAGAGGGTGCAGGGGGACAAGTAAGGGCAAAATGAGGGTAGAGGCTGTGCTTCCTCAGGTGGGAGGCTCTACCTCTCTGGTTCTCAGATGCCCAGAGTTAACATTCAGTCAGAAGCACGGTTTAGGCCTAGCAGGCACTAAAGTATTGATTTGTTAATAATTTAGTCCTTAGTGGCTGGATGCCTCAGACACTAGTCCCCTCTCTTCCACAGTCTGGAAACTAAAGAGAAGGAGGGCCACCTGAAACAGCCAGATGCTCCCAGGGCCATACCCTAGCCAGCACACTGGCCAACCTCTGTTTTAGATTGATCACTGCCTGACTGACTCATAACTAGGGGTTAAGGATTTTGAACACTTCCCATGTGGTTACTTTCTTTTCTTTTCTTTGTGCTTTTTTTTTATTTTTTATTTTATTTTATTTTTTTGAGACGGAGCCTCAAGCTATCCCCCTGGGTAGAGTGCCATGGCATCACGCTCACAGCAACCTCCAACTCCTGGGCTCAAGCGAGTCTCCTGCCTCAGCCTCCCAAGTAGCTGGGACTACAGGCACGTGCCACAACGCCTGGCCATTTTTTTTTTTTTTTTTGGTTGCAGCCATCATTGTTATTTTGGCGGGCCTGGGCTGGGGATTCGAACCTGCCACCTTAGGTGTATGTGGCTGGCGCCTTAGCCGCTTGAGCCACAGGCGCCGAGCCGTGTTTTTTTTTTTTAGATAAAGAGTCTCACTCTGTTGCCCTGGGTAGAGTGCTGTGCACCATAGCTCACAGCAACTTCAAACTCTTGGGCTTGAATAATCCTCTTCCCTCAGCCTTCTGAGTAGCTGGGACTACAGGTGCCCGCCACAATGCCTGGCTAGTTTTTCTGTCTTTAGTATAGACAGGGTCTCACTTTTGCTCAGGCTGGTCTTGAACTCCTGAGCTCAAGCAATCCACTTCTTCAACCTCTCAGAGTGCTAGGATTACAGGCGTGAGCCAGCATACCTGGGCTCCCATGTGGTTACTTTCTACCATTTATTTACCCAATAGTTTTCTGAGCCCCAAGCATAGGCCAGGCCTCACTTAGCATTGCAGATGAACACATAGGTTAAGGTGACCAGATTTTAACATTGGTAAAGTGGGACACAATTGACCAGGGGTGGGGTGGGAATGGGGTGGGGGTTCTTAATTAAAAATTTGGTCTATATGGAGCAACAAAAATTTTCATAGAATACAAAAATAGTATTGTAATATATACTTTAAAAATTTCAACATCAGTACAATTTACAAATATAGTACATTAAAAAAAATTATGTATAGGGCGGCACCTGTGGCTCAAAGGAGTAGGGCGCTGGCCCCATATGCCGAAGGTGGCGGGTTCAAACCCAGCCCTGGCCAAAAAAAAAAAAAAATTATGTATAGTATTATTTTATTCTTTGGCATATTTCTCATTTGAGTGAATTTTTTTTAGTAGATTGCTGTCGTTGTTTAAAAGGTCATAAAATTTTTCACAAGAATTTGTTAAATTATATATCACACATAAAATGGCTTTCAAAGTCTCAACACTTAATTGTGATTTTTCTGATGTCCACACTTTATTTACCGTAGAAAAACCGCGTTCAGTCGCAGTATTAGTTCCTGGTAAGGACAGCGAGTATCCCACAATTTTTAGTGCATTATTGTATGGAATATGGTTTGTTTCAAAATGATGAACTATTTCTAAACATTTGTTCTCTGTTGTGATTTTTGCTGATGCCCAAGATTTAACCTTTGCCTTATCAATATATATTTTTTAATAATGATACCTTGTAAGTCGTAAGTGTCACTTTCAAGGCTGGCACTAGACTTTTTGCCGCCATTATAAAATATAAATAATATGAGTACTGTCTGCTAAATTCATGAAATAAATAAATTACTTACCTAAATTATCTGAATAGCTGATTTGTTGACATCACTTGTTTAACTAGCACTAGCATGCAGTACGATGGGTATTGTCTGAGAGACAGTTACAAAATGTTGTTGTGATTGCCAATGCCAAAAAATGCCATTGTTCATTAAGTCCAAACAATGCTGGTTGAATTCTAACAACTGATCAACAATGCGAACTTTGATAAGCAGTTCTCGATAATCAGTTCTCAACAATTATTTATTATTAAAGTTTAACATTATAAAATTAACAAAAATAATATAAAACTCATATCCTGGTGAAATAGCCACATGTTGGGACCAGAATTGCCGCTTAGAGACCACCACACACATGTAAAGACAAAAAGTGCTTTATTTTGGAAGCATATGCCTGGGCTACTCTTCCCTTTAGCGTGGCTGGAGGAAGGGCGACCCCCCTAGCGAAGAGAGCTGAGGGTTTTTTTTTTTTTGAGACAGAGCCTGAAACCTGGGTAGAGTGCCCTGGCATCACAGCTCACAGCAACCTCCAACTCCTGGGCTCAAGGGAGTCTCTTGCCTCAGCCTCCCAAGTAGCTGGGACCACAGGCGCCTGCCATAACCCCCAGCTATTTTTTGGTTGCAGCCGTCGTTGTTTGGCGGCAGGCTGGATTCGAACCTGCCACCTTAGGTGTATGTGGCTGGCGCCTTAGCCACTTGAGCCACAGGTGCCGAGCCCCAAAATCGAGACTTTTAAAAAATGCCACAGGACATAGGACAAATTGTTAAAAATCGGGACTGTCCCGCCAAAAGTGGGACATCTGCTCACCTTAACATAGGTCCATGAAGGAGACACTTTGGGGACAGAATGATCAGAGTAGGAGAGAGATGGAGGATGCACAGACAGAGTGAGCCACGCTGTGATGGGGAAAACCCAGGGGGCTCTGGGAGCCCGGGAAAGACCCTTGATCCAGCCTAGGGGGTCAGCATGGCTTCCTGCATATAAGCCCTGAGAGCTGAGGTTGCAGATGGAAGGGAAGGGTGTCCCAGGCTAAGGAACAGTCTGTACACAGGCTTGGTAGTGAGAGAAGGATTTCTTCATTTTTTCCACATTCCCTGAGTCAGCTACTCTGGGGCTGCAAGACAGGAAGTGTAGAGAGTCTGCCAGCTGAACTTTGCTACTTCCTTTCTATCTGAACTGGTGTAAGTCAATTCTCACTGAGCTTTAGTTTCTTCATCTGGAAAGTGAGACAAAGGAGTCTCCCTACTACTAGTTTCTGTTAAAGACCCATGGGGAGAATGCTTAGCACAGGGGCCAGCATATCTGTGCAGATGTAAACACAGGGGAGTGGTTAGGAAGTTTTGAGAGGCTCAGCAAGCATCTGGGTCTCAGTTGGCTCATCTGTAAAATGAGTTGTTTTTCTTTTTCAAGACAGAGCCTCAAGCTGTCACCCTGGGTAGAGTGCCCTGGCATTACAGCTCACAACAACCTCCAACTCCTGGGCTCAAGCCATTCTCCTGCCTCTGCCGACTTGGTTGCAGTCGTTATTGTTTGGCGGCTGGATTTGAACCCACCAGTTCAGGTATATGTGGCTGGTGCCTTAGCTGCTTGAGCTAGAGGCACTGAGACATAAAATGAGTTTTAAATGGTGTCTCCATCTCACAATTGTTGGATGTCCTACAGCCTTGATTAGGGTGCTTGGCAGCTCAGATCCTAGGAGTCCTCCTGATGAATTCTGCTTGATGTAGAGACGCAAGTCATAGAGAAGGATAAGCTGTGGGTCCGAAGGAGCCCGGTTGTCTCTGCCCAGCACCATCATTTGTATACCAGAAATCTGGTGCCAGCTATCTTCATTTGCCTTAGACCCCTCTGTCCTGTTCAAATTGGTCCATGCCCTGGAAGGTAGACTTGGGTGGGCTGTATTGCCCAAGTGCCCATGACATATAGCTTCCACAGCATTTGGACAGCAGGGTGCCTTGTAGGAGGTGGGGGAAGGGAGCAAGGTCAGGGTGTTGATTTCCCCATTCCCCCCCAGTGTGACTGCCCTCTCTTTAGGATTTGCACTATTAAGTTCTTGTTCCCTCTCTTTTTGCCCTGTGATCTGGAGGTGGTAACAGCTCCCCTCTGGTACCAGTTCTGGGGTACTGTACCACCCTTGGTGGTTTCCCTAATCCCTGCCTTCCCCTTTGCAAGTGACCCCTTTATTAAACTTGGTATTTTCTTTGAGACAGTCTCACTCTGTCACTGTGGGTAGAGTGCCCTGGAGTCACAGCTCACAGCAACCTCAAACTCTTGGGCTAAAGTGACCCTCTTGTCTCAGCCTTCCAAGTAGCTGGAACTACAAATGTCCCCCACAATGCTTGGCTATTTTTAGAGACAGGGGACTCTTGTTCAGGCTGGGGTCTTGAACTCCTGAGCTCAGCCAATCTACCTGCGTTGGCCTCCCAGAGTGCTAGGATTACAGGCGTGAGCCACCATGACTGAGCCTCAGCAGTGCTTTCTTTCTTTTCTTTCTTTCTTTTTTTTTTTTTTTTTTTTGAGACAGAGTATTACTTTGTGGCCCTTGGTAGAGTACCATGGCATCACAGCTCACAGCAACCTCGAGCTCTTGGGCTTAGGCAATTCTCTTGCCTCAGCCTTGCAAGTAGCTGGGACCACAGGAACACAAGGCCCTGTTGGGTGAAAGTTTCTTATGAGTGGCCGGTGACACAGATGTAGATTTTGCATTGGAATTGTATAGCATAAAGGAGAGACTACCACTCTATGGCAGATAGCAAAAATCAGGGGTCCTCAAATTTTTTTTTTTTTTTTTTTTTTTGAGACAGAGCCTCAAGCTGTCCCCCTGGGCAGAGTGCC